ATACTGATCTCAAATAGTATTTCAAGCTAAAGTTCAAGTGGGTGTATTTAAAATGTCAAGATCATAAAACAACAATAAGAGAAATGTAAGTACATTTCCATGCAGTCTGGTGGTTGAGATATTGTTCCGGATCATGTCTTCTAAATGCAGTCAATGAAGTATTTGACACCCTGTTATAGACACAAACCCTACCCCACAAGACTCACAGGGAAAAGTAAATCAAAAAGTAATTGCACACTGGTAAGCACTCCAAGGGGAAAAAAGGCAAAACTTGAAGTAAGAGAACTTTGCAGGGAATGATCACCTGATTAGACAGGAGGACGCTCTCAGGAGAAATCTAAGCTGGGGCCTCCGAGAAGTGATAAAGGTGGGGCTGGGGACACTTCTGAGCTGGGGCAGATTTTCAAGAGCTTTGCATAAATTGACCTACTTAATCTTCAGTATGCACTATTCTGAAGATGAGTCCAGAGTCACAGCCAGGAAGTTTGAGAAGCTGATGAACAAGAAGCCCAGTGATCCCACACACCAGGGTCTACAGTCTTCATTCTAGAACTGCCTCTCTGAGCATTTGGCTGCAAGGTGTGTGTGTGTGTCCATCTGTGTGTGTCCATCTGTGTGTGTCCATCTGTGTGTGTTCATCTGTGTGTGAGTGTGTGTTCTAGCATGCGTGTGTGTTTCTACATGTGTGTGTCTCCATGTGTGTGTGTCTCCATGCTGTGTATATGTCTCTGTGTGTCCATCTCTGTGTATGTGTGTGCACGCGCGTTTGATATACATGAACATTCCAGTCAAATGAACAGCACCCATAGAACCCTAGAGGCAGAAAGAGTTTGACATGTTCCCTGCACCGAGAGGCAGCCAAGCACGGGAACACAGTGTACAGGATGACAAGAGGTGTGGATGGGGAGCAGGCACAGCCAGACCACGCCCCACCTTGCAGGCCTTGATGAAGAGAGTCTCAGGATGGGCTGAGGCAGGGGTGTGCCACGAGGGACCACACCTGAAAGAATTACAGACATCAGTGCAAGGACTACAGCATTCTTACTTCCAAATGAGTCTATGCAGAAACAATAAAGGAAAATAAAGACTCCACTGTCTAAATGTTTACATACGGTCAGTAGCACCAAGTGTGATTCAAGGCCAAAAGGATGACTAATACTTCTACAGTAAGAATTTTAGAATTCTGGCAAAGCAGAAACCAAGAGAGCCATTTCTCTCTTGAAACGAACAAAAGTGCCTGAATAGAAAAATCTACAAAAGAACAAACATGAATGCATAAGAATTCATATGTCCATAAAGAGTTCCATGCATTTTTTTGTCATTGCTTTAATTTCATGCATTTCTTGGGAGGGGTGTACGTGTGGTATGGTACACGTGTGGATATCAGAGCCTCTGTGGTGGTCAGAACTTGCAGGAGATGGTTCTCTTCTTCCACTCATGGTCCCGGGAGGGAACACAGACTATTGGGTCTGGCCACCTGCTGAGCCATCTCAGCCTGCCATTTTTTAAACATTTGTTTATTTCTTGTGAGGGTGGAGGTGATATTTGCAGGCACCGTGTTGCACACATGAATGTCAGAGGACACTTGGGGTGTCGGTTCTCTCCTTCCAGCAAACGGGTCTCGGGGACAGAACTCAAGTCATGAGGCTTGGCAGTGATGCCTTTACACACTTGAGCCGTCTCTCCTGCACTCTTACTATGTTTTAAATGTGTTTTTCTCCCATGGCAAGACAGTTAAGGGAATTGAGACCTCTTATGTAGTGTCAAGACTAGAAACTGCTTTACTAGCCTTCCAAGTACACAGGGTGAAAGGGGCTTGCTCTTGATTTTACAGTAAGGAAACACTTAGAATGACCTCAAAAGTACAGTTAGAAGGATGGATGTTAACAAACACACCTAATGGGACTTGATAAGTAAAGTACATTTCTAAAATCAACTTCTCAGTCACCTTTGATAACTACAAAGTCACTTTCTCAACTGATAAAAGCAGGAGTATTTTCGTCTTTAAACTCTGTTTTAACACACACAGCCCAACACGGGGAGTCCAGTGATCTGACAGAATTATGATCACACTGCTTTCTTTTGTGGTGCTGGAGATGGAACCCAGACCAGCAAGCATGCTTGGCAGGCATGCTATTGAGCGCTCTCCCCAGCACTGATGATGCATTTATTCAGGGTCATTTTTTTTTTCTATCCTTTCTCTATTCAATACACATCATTCTTTTTTAAAAATATATTTTTTAGGATTTATTTATTTTTTATATATGAGTACACTGTATCTATTTCCAGACACACCAGAAGAGGGCATTGGATCTCATTACAGATGGTTCTGAGCCACCATGTGGTTGCTGGGAATTGAACTCAGGACCTACGGAAGAGCAGTCAGTGCTCTTAACCACTAAGTCATCTCTCCAGCCCCCATATTATTCTTAATAATAGACAAAGCCATACTTTTGAAATGTATACAGTTTTGAGGCTGCCTGAGCTACAGTGAGACTCTCTTGCAAACAAACAAATGAACAAAACCAAAAAAGCCAAATCTTCAAGAAAAGAAAAAAAATCAACTATCAGAAAATAAGACATGGTATACTATTACAGTGGTTCTCTGGGTTGAGACTCCCAGGGGTCACATGTTACAATTCACAACAATAGCAAGATTACAGTTATGGAGTAGCAACTGGATAACTTTATGGTTGGGGGTCACCATACCATGAGGAACTGTACTAAAGGGTAGCAGCATTAGAAGGGCTGAGAACCTCTGGTCTATTAAAACTGCCATGAAGAGGGAGCTAGGTGTAGGCTGCAGATGAACTTCTCTATCCTGGAGCGACAAAGCTTCACAGTCATGACTTTCTGAAAACCAACCAGAAAGGCCACGGTAGCAATTCGTCCTAAAGAAATGACCGTATATGTGTTCAACAAATAATCCAGTAGTGAAGCTTCTAAAATTAAAGAAAGAAGTGATGTGCACAGCCAAGAGAAAGCTCGGGAGGAGAGACTGAGTATTAAATGCAGCCGTGTAAACTGGTATAGAAAGGCGACTAATTAGCGTGCTGTTGAAGTGCGTGGAACAGCCTAGCGGTGGGGTTTATCATCATCTCAGGAGTCCAAGTTTACAAGGTTTACAAGCTTGGACTCGTCAGTCACTTCATTTCCCAGAGCCTCGGTTTTCTTAGAGGCAAATGATGACGGAGGGACTGATCTCACAGCATCATTAAGAGTTAATAAACCCCTGAAGCACAGGTAGAGGAAGAACCAGAAGAAGAGCCTGAAGACACCACAGAAGACACTGAAGACTCAGAGCAGGATGAAGAAGAGATGGACGCAGGGACAGAAGAGGAAGAAGAACAGGAAACAGAAAAGGAATCTACAGAGAAGGATGAATTGTAAATTATACTCTGACTATGAATCCTGTGTGGAGAGGGAATGTGAAAGTTGAAAGTCCGTTTCTTTTGAGAGACTTGGTCTGGATGCTTCCCCAAGCTTCCTCCCCTGCACTGTAAAATGTAAATTTGTACTATTTAACTGACTATTGGTGTAAAATCTTGTCATGTGTATAAAAATAAAAAAAATCCCCCCCCCAAAAAAAGAGTTAATAAACCGGCAGGCCGGAAGATGGCTCTGCAGGTAAAGTGCTCGCCAGGCAAACCTGATGACCTGAGATCCACAATTCATAGCGGAAGGAGAGAACCCAGTCCTGAACGACATTGTCCTCTGGCCTTTGTGTGCGTACACACACACACACACACACACACACACACACACAAACAGAAATAAAGAAAAAAAGAAATAATCTTTAAAGGAGCCAATAATTTAATGCCTACAAAGGGGATGGTACGGAGCCTGGTAATAGGGCAAGAATGTGGTAACTGTCAATCATTTCTAGACCAATCTAGTAACTGAACCACACACACTACATAAACTGGGAAAATAACTCAGTGAAACGTTAGCATCTCTGGAAGAGGGATAATATTTTTCTCTTAAATTCCCTGTATTTTTGCTTTAGTCATTTGATTTTTTTAAACCAGCAATATTAATATTTAAACATTTCCATTTATTTCGAGTAGTCTTAATAATATTCCTCTTGACCTAATAAATCCTTTTCAGCATAAGCCAGTCTATGCATACTATATTTATGGAAATGGAGTATTTTATTGATTTAATCTGAGAAATAATACATTTCGCCTCCATTCTTCAGCGTCAAATAGGCTGATCATATTTCATCCTATAAAAATATTTTCTGCACTCTTAAACATTTTCAGATTAAGAGCGGTCTGAGTGGAATATTAGAACATAAAAAACCTGGTGGAGGGGAGTGGATTAATGTCTGTAGAAAGTAAAGTTATAGAAGATAGACACAACAACTTTGTGACAGTTATAAAATAAGAAAGTATAACCTTACCTTAAATCACGTAAGGTCAGAGGTTACTGCAATAAGCATTTCAACTCCACAGACAACTTTTGTAGTGTGCCCAGAAGAGAGATGTGACTCAGTAGCTCAGCAGTCCACCCAGGATGGTGACAATCATTCTGAGAGGAAAAAGATCTCAGTGAGGGAAGTGTGCCAGAGCAATCTCCTTTCTCAGTTCAGACCGACAGGCCTGAGTCAATGACCAGGGTCAGTACTGTTTCAGAAACTAAACCTCGTCCTTTTTCCTGCTGGGGGCAGGAGAAGGATAGAGAACTGAGAAACTGCAAAAACCAGTCTTTCTGCTCTAGGTAAAAGCTAGCCACCGCACTTTTGGTGAATTACCTCCACTCTTTCAAAGAAAATAGCTTGATCCCTGGCTGCCTTTCATCCTCAGTTCTCATATCATATCATATATACGATATATCTTACATATATATGATATATAAGAACTTCTTTTTCACTGCCTCTTACTAAATTCACTGGCATAATGCATGTGTCTATGAAGAACAACCAGCATCCTGGATTCCTCCTGTAGATTGCCACCAGTCAGCTCTCTTGCATAGACCTGCTGTCTTCCTATTACCTGCACAACCTTGAACAGATTGATTGTCCTTGTCCCTGGGTTCTTGCTTTTCTCGACTACACAATCAACATCCGATGCCGGCTTTTACACCTTCGTGGCTCCCTGAAATCGGAGGCTCCCTGGGTATGCCTCGCACCCCCTTCACCTTGCAGAGAGTAACCAGGTTATCTGTTCTGCCATAAACCTCAGCTTCGAGCATATCCTTGCATCTCACAGATCTCACCACAGGAACTCAACAGTGCTAGCCAGACCCATCCTACCTGAGACCCGCACCAAACCCAAGGCTCTCTGGCCTTAAAACTTCTCAAGTCCTTGTTTACTCAGATCCTTAGTGTTACAGGTTTTGTCTTCTGCCAAATATAAACTCCTCTGTTGGCTTTCAGTTCTCCCATGGTCTTCTACCACCGCACTATGTGCTAATGATTTCCAGTTCCTCCCATTCCAGTGAGACTCGTCTGACTAGACAAAACCATGCGTTCTTACACCTTCCTATGTAACTATCATGTCCCCTTGTGGGGTTCAGGCTTGGGTCCCCAGCTCCAGCAATGCTTATTATCCTCATACCTTAATATTCACACACCACCTAACACACCTGTCCGATGTGGCATGCATCCAGTTTAACTGTCCAGAGGGGAGGAGATGATTCGGAATAAGTTTTCACTTCAGTGTAGATAGTATTGGAGGTTTTATAAGTCAAGTCTCCTCTGGATCAGCTCTGCCAGTACTCTTTGAGGTCAACAGGCCTTTACTAAACATTCCCTTACTATAAGGATTTTGAAAGGTTTCACCATAAAGAAATAATAAACACTTGAAGAGATATATTTACCTGGATTTTATTCACTCACAATATATGCGCCCTTGAAAATATAGAGTTACCCAGTTGTATATAATCTTTGTTTGTCAGGTTCAATCACCATTGAGTACCAGGCACACCTAACCTGCTGGGGTCACATAGGTCCCAGGATACATATGAATTTGGCAATTTGGCCCAGGACATTTGTAGAAGATACTGAGAAGCCAATATCAAAAGGCTGGGTACCACTTATTGACTATTCAGTCTAAGGATCTCCTCACGGAGCCAGGAGATGAGTTTTGAGTATGTCCAACATCTGTTAGACAGCACACCAAAGTGATCATGTCCTAATTCTTCAAACTCATAACCAAGCTCTCAGCAGCATCGTCAACAACTTGCCATAGGAAAAGATGGTGGCTTTTTACAATTTTATCCCAAAGATGATGGATAAAGAACTACAGGGAGGTCTTGATGGGAGATGAGTGGAAGATGCAGGGATGTGTCAAGGAATGCAGGGAGAGTATCTGATTCTGGAGAAATGAAACTACTACAAAGGCAAGAGAACCACACCAACAGCAGGGGCACACCTGGGCAAAGAGATGAGCGTGGTGTCATGTAAACTCACAGGAGGCCTCAGCCTCGGCCTTGAGAAACAGGAAACAGTAGGTGGCTCCCAGGTGCAATTTTCAATATGGCTGACACAGGATACCTATGGCAGGGGGGTGAGGAAAAACCAGGAGGGCAAAGAGAAAGAGTAGACTTGCCTGTCAAGAACTCTAAGGTTGACTTTCATAGACTCTGCCTGACCTAACAGTCTGATAAAAAACACCTGAATTCTTTCATTTCATTCCATTCTCTGTGAGAAATCCTAATAGAGAGGAAGCCTGGTTTGGATGGACAGTTTCAGAGGGTGGAGCAGCTAGGTTTACATCACAGTGGGCCAGGAAAGAGAGAGCTAGCAGGATGCTGTATGGTGCATGACGACCTTCCCCAGGGACACGCTACTTCCTCCAGCCAGATCCCAGTTCCTGAAGTTTCCACCAGTTCCCAAAATAATACCAGCAGCAGCTGGAGACACTTTGGTCCCAAGCTGTCACAGCGAATATGCTTGTCCTGCTCCTGTTCCCTCATCTCTCCTCTCAGTCTGACTACGAACGAGAATGCTTGCCTGCTCTGCCAACACATCACCCTGCTTGCCTGGTTTTGTCTCCCTAAGAAATCTTACAAAACCATTCAACACTTTACGGTGTCAACCCCAGAGAGCTGGCCCTCAGCCTGCTGCTTTAAGAACGAGATGGTTACTCACACAGATAAAAGAAAATAGATCACAAACCTGCAGCATGTTGGGTAATTTATATAGTTAATGCTCAATTATTTTAAAAGTAGCATGTTTCATCTTTTAAAATACTGTTTGTTCTCAACTATAGGTTTAGAAAATTCAAGAATGAAGCTTTTAAGTGCTATTACCAAGCGTCTTATTGAATCCCCTCCCACTTTGGCATATATGCAGAGCCAGTGTATAAACATAATATCCAAACAGGAATGATCTGGTATTATTGTAACTGTTTTTTCCCATTTATTTTAATGGAAGCACTGTGTCATTTAATAGTTTTCTACACTTTTATTTTAATGACTTCATGAGATTTCATCTTTAAACCCCTTTAACTCACTGAGACAATTTCTAAGCTTTGATTGTAAAACAATGCCAAGTGTGATACCCTTTCACACACCACTAGTTATTTTTCTAGAAAAAGTGATGTGTCAGTCACATGAAACATAAAGAACTGATACTGTGAAGGGCTACGCATGAGAATGTCACATCCCATGGCACATAGTAATGTCACTCTCCCATACCCCTCTAATACTAGGGTAGTATTTATTTTTTAATATTATATTTTAGCCACATGTAGTAGCACACGCCTTTAATCCCAGCACTCAGGAAGCAGAGACAGACAGATCTGAATTAGAGGCCAGCCTAATTTACAGTGAGAGTTCCAGGGTATGGCAGGGCTACACACACACACACACATCTGTTCTGTCTGAAAAACAAACAAAACATATACATAATCCTATAGACACTTCAAACTTCAAACTCAGTGTGCATTTTAAGTTAAACACATTTTACCTTCTTACATTTCTTTTTTTTTCTTTTTCTTCTTTTTTTTTTTTTTTTTCAAGACAGGGTTTCTCTGTGTAGTTCTGGCTGTCCTGGAACTCACTCTGTAGACCAGGCTGGCCTCGAACTCAGAAATCCTCCTGCCTCTGCCTCTCAAGTGCCGGGATTAAAGGTGTGTGCCACCACTGCCCGGCGCCTTCTTACATGCCCTTTGTTTATTTTTCTACCTGAGTGTTCCCCAAATGGATTTACACAATCTCACTATATCAGAGCATTATCCACTTGGAACCCTGACTGTACATTGATTGGAAACTTTTAATTCCACGAAGCAGAACCCATTGAAGCCTCCGAGGCTTAGAAAGGATCCTGGTGTGGGTCTCAAGAGTCTTTCCTATAGAAAGATAAAAGCATGTGACATTTGCCTGGCTGGTAGTTTCCCCAGCTTATGTTTTTCCAGAAGAGACACCACTCTACTTTACTGGCCTACTTCAAAGATCACAGAAAATCAAGCCACTCAACAACAATGCTTTCCTTTCTTACAATGGTCCTTTGACCTTTGACATGAGTCAAAGTAATGTTCATAAAAACAAATGAACAAACAAAATCACCCCACTAACTAACAACAGCGCCTTATTATCCAGCTCTCAATGAAACTGTTAGGTGGCCACTATCTGCTTTTACAAACACCCAATAGAATGACAGATACTTATTTTTACATACAAGCCATGCAGGGTCAGGATGATGGCTTACTAAGTGCTTGCTACACAGGCATGAGGATCTGAGTTCAGATGCCTGGCACCTATGTAACATCGGGGGTGCGACAGCACATGTGTGTAACCTCACTGCTTGAAGGTGAACAGTACTTTGACTCATGTCAAAGGTCAAAGGATCATTGGAAGAAAGGAAAGCATTGTTGAGATGGAGACAGGTTGATCCCTGGGACGCTCTGCTAAAATGATAAGCTCTGGGTTCAATAAAAGAGAGTGTTGGAGGAAGAGGAAGAAGGAGGAAGGAGGAGAAGGAGGAAGAGGAGGAAGAAGGTAGAAGAAGAGGAGAAAGAGGAGGAGAAGGAGGAGGAGGAGGAGGAGAAGGAGAAGGAGGAGGAGGAGAAAGAGAAGGAGGAGGAGGAGGAAGAGGAGGAGGAGGAGGAGGAGGAGAAGAAGAAGAAGAAGAAGAAGAAGAAGACGACACTGACCTGTAGCCTTTATTATATGTGCACACACAGGCAAGCATACACACACAAACACCAAGCCATATACTGATTTTTAAAGACTCTTCTCGGCTGTGCTTTTGCTTTCTCAGCTGTAATCCCAGAGGCTAAGCACATTCCTTTCACCAGCTTCAAACAACTCCTAGCTGCATCCATTGTTAAGCGTCTCTAGTAAACACAGTCTCCAGTAAACTCACTTCTCCTCTCTGTGTTTCTTGACTCCTAAGGACCATTGTGTTCTATAAAAGCTAACTATTTTTGGCTGGGAACCAAGGCTGCTCTATCAGCAAATGTTTCCCTTTCTTCCAAAGGTCCTTGAGCGGCTTATCCGTTAGTGACTTAGTGATGTCCCTGGTAACAGTGCATACCCAAGCCCTTTTGTCAAAGGTGGAGCATGCTGTGATCTATAAATATTTT